TCTAGATGCAGCCCTGCAGTCTAGCCACACCTTCACTGGGTTGAGACAGGTGGTGTGGGCTTTGGGGTGGGAATGAGGGATTTACGTGTAGGAAAGGGTGAGTGGTGCAAGCTCTGGAAGGGAATTGGGATGCAGGAGGAGGTGGAGAAGGGAATGCTGGATTGGGAAAGGGGCTCCAGGCTGCAGAGTGTTGGGGTCAGGTGGAAGGTTGGGGTGATGAACAAGCCAGTCTTGTGGATGTGAAGGTGCAGGAGTTTGGATTGGAGTGTGAGGGGCTCAGAGCAGGGAGGTTGGGCCTATGACGGGCTCAGAGCACAGAGATTTGCATGGGCACCATACCACAGAGTGTGAATGGTGCAAGAGCGTTGTGGCAGAAGACTGAGGATGTGGGGGTACAGGAGTTTGGGGATGAGAGGCTCAGGATAGGGGGTTCCAGTGTATGATAGGCTCAGATTTGGGGTTGGGGTGCAGGAATGCACCCTGACAGTTGTAGACAGGCCAAGCTGAACAGCTCACTAGTCCCTTGATGGCTCCAAAGGCTGTCAAAGGAGCCACCAAAGAGTCTCCTGCTGATTGCTTGCTACAGACTTCCACTCAGCCTTCAGAGCAATCAAGGGACTAGTGGTCTGTTCAGCTTGGCCTGTCCACAACTGTCAGGGTATGTGTCATCCAAGTGGTTGGCATCCCAGAGGAGGAGCAGAAGAATCCACCAGCACAGTGGGTATGCTTTGCATGCAAATGGACCTCTGATTAAAATGGGCAGAAATGTGGCATTTTGCTCTTTGTGGCTCCCCTTTCTGCCCTAGTAGGGGCTCCTCCTTTTGCCATTGGCATATACCTGACATTCCCTTTATCCCCCAGCATGACAGAATGCCCACTGGCGTAAGCCTGGGCAAACTAGAGGTTTCAGGCCTGTCACCTCATGAGGCTTGTGCCTTGGCCTCCTCTGCTCTTGGAGGCCAGCTCTTCCAGCTTCCTGTGTGCTGTTTGGCAAAGGAAGGAGTAAGGCAGGAATGGGGGGAAAGAAGCAAGTTACGCTGAGGCAGTCATCTCAGGCTTAAGCCCCAGCTCCAGCACAAAACCTTCAGCCAGTCACGTGCCTCCCACCGCACAAGCTCAAAGGGAGAAACATTCCCATGTTCCATCCCCCAACCCAGGGGCCAATGAAATGCTGCTAGGTGGTCTCAGGAATAAACCAAAGGACTGATAAAACAAGAGATTTTTTTTTAAATTAAATTTTAAGGAAACACATGACTCATAGTGATGCCTAGTAGATCACCATAGGAACTGGTAGTAGGTCACTAATTCAGTTTGTTTTAGAAATTATTTTTATCAATAAATCATTTTAGTTATAAGAACGTTTAGGCTGTGTTTAGACTGGCTAGTTTTTCCGCAAAATCAGCTGCTTTTGTGGAAAAACTTGCCAGCTGTCTACACTGGCCGCTTGAATTTCCGCAAGAACACTGACGATCTCATGTAAGATCGTCAGTGTTTTTGTGGAAATACTATGCTGCTCCCATTTGGGCAAAAGTCCTTTTGCACAAAAGGGCCAGTGTAGACAGCCCAGATTTGTTTTCCGCAAAAAAGCCCGGATCACGGAAGTGATTTTGCGGAAAAGCGTCCATGCCAATCTAGATGCTCTTTTCCGAAAATGCTTTTAACAGAAAACTTTTTTGTTAAAATCATTTCTGGAAAATCATGCCAGTCTAGACGTAGCCTTATACATTAGAGACACTTAAAACCAAGGTGAGCTGTCTAAACATTCTTATGGTATATTAATGTTTTGCTCCACTGTGATTAGCAAAACTGGAAAAATGCAGTTATTTGGCCAAAATAAGTCTGCTTCAGAGATAAAATGTGCTATTTATTATGTATTTTGATGTGCTGAATTCAAATATGACAATTAAAACAACTGATTGGCTACTGTTGTTTCCAAGATATTTAAGTTTTTACATTTTACGTCTATGTATATTGTGTAGATAGTAGAGTTTTAATCATAAATTGTAAACCTAGGTCTTTTCATGTGTTTATGGTTGCTTTACATGATAATATTTCACCCGGCCTGTTTATGTAGCACTTTAAAAATCAGCAAAAGGGTTATATAAATAAAATTTATTATGAAACAAAAGGCAAAAAACTATTATGTACATAGTTTAGTCCTATTCAGTGTCTACTCGGCACTTCTCGGCTTGTCTCTTGTATTCACTAAATGGAGTATCTCTTGTCACTGTCCAGCAATAGTCTGCAAGCATTGATGGGCTCCATTTGCCCTGATAGCGTTTCTCCATTGTTGCAATGTCCTGGTGAAATCGCTTGCCGTGCTCATCGCTCACTGCTCCGCAGTTCGGTGGAAAAAAAATCTAGATGAGAGTGCAAAAAATGTATCTTCAGTGACATGTTGCAACCAAGGCTTTTATATGCCTTGAGGAGGTTTTCCACCAACAACCTGTAGTTGTCTGCCCTGTTGTTTCCGAGAAAATGTATTGCCACTAACTGGAAGGCTTTCCATGCTGTCTTTTCCTTGCCACGCAGCACATGGTCAAATGCATCATCTTGGAGAAGTTCACGAATCTGAGGACCAACAAAGACACGTTCCTTTATCTCAGCTTCACTTAACCTTGGAAATTTTCCACGGAGGTTCTTGAAAGCTTCTTGTGTTTTGTCCATGGCCTTGACAAAGTTCTTCATCAGACCCAGCTTGATGTGTAAGGGTGGTAACAAAATCTTCCTTGATTCAACAAGTGGTGGATGCTGAACACTTTTCCTCCCAGGCTCCAATGACTGTCGGAGTGGCCAATCTATCTTGATGTAGTGGGAATCTCTTGCACGACTATCCCATTCGCAGAGAAAACAGCAGTACTTTGTGTATCCAGTCTGCAGACCAAGCAAGAGAGCAACAACCTTCAAATCGCCACAAAGCTGCCACTGATGTTGGTCATAGTTTATGCACCTCAAAAGTTGTTTCATGTTGTCATAGGTTTCCTTCATATGGACTACATGACCAACTGGAATTGATGGCAAAACATTGCCATTATGCAGCAAAACATCCATGACTTCTAGGAATAACATGATGCAATTCATATAATGTATGAC